CCCAAGAACGCCCCAAGACCGGCCCAAGAGGGCCTAAAAACAACCCGATAGGCGCTTATGACCGCCCAAGAGCTTGCAAACACGGCCCAAGAGGCGTCGAAGACGGTCAAAGCGTGCCTCGACGCGCATACGACCGCTCCAAGACGCCCAAGATGGTTCCCGGAAGGCCCAAGTTGCGTCCAAGACGTCCCAAGACAACCCCAAGAGCATTCCCAAGAGGGACCCAAACAGCCAAAATCATCGCTTGCCTTCAGGCTTTTAAGAGTTTTTGGCTTCCTCAATTTTTCGTCGTCCCGACGCTCCAAGACGGTCCAAGAGGCCCCCAAGACCGTCCCAAGCTGGTCCAAGAGGTTCCCACGACGGCTGCAAGAATGCTCATGTGCCTCTCAAGACCACCCCAAGACGGCCCCGGATGGACTCCCGACGGCCCTCGAGGCTGCCCAGATGGTCCAATATCCCCAAGACGGACCCCAGACACCCCCATACGCTTCCACAGCGGCCCACAGACGCTCCCAGAGGCCTCCAGGTACAGGATGAAGACGCTCCCAAGAGGGCTCCGAGTTTCCAAATTGCTCAAAATCTGTCCACAAGCAGTACGTTCGTAGCACGTCGCGTTTTCACTGCCGATGGGCCTCCGAGGCTGCTGGACGGCGTCAGAACGCCCTACAGAGCCACCTCATAAACACTCAGGACAGCTCCAAGAGCGCTTGGAGGTTTCCCGAGAGCGGCCCGAGACCGCTCCAGCTGGTCTGAAGATTGGGTTCGGGCCGTGAAGATTGCCCCAGAGGGCTTCAAGACGGCTCAACAAGAGGTGCCCAATAGGGCCCCACGGGAGCCTCAACAGTAGAGGGTCCCAGGAGAGAGAAAGAGAGAAAGAGAGAGAGAGAGAGAGAGAGAGAGAGAAAACTCGAATTGAGATTTCGAGCCATCCGCCCCAAGGAGACCCCCGAGATCGCCTTCAGGCTCCACGAGGCCCAAACTAGGCCCCCTAACGACCCCCAATATGTTTCAAAACTGCCTCCAGTAGGCTCTCCAGAGGCTTCCCACGAAGCCCCAACAGGCATCCAAGAGACCTTGTCTGAGCTGGCCTGGGGTAGTCCGCGCAATGTCTAACCGGACTTCGCTCAGTGTAGCTTCGCTACGCTCGTGCAAGGGTGACCCCCTATGCCACTCATGTTCTTTTCGTGCTGTTTCACCTTGTTTCACCTAGTGGTTACCCCAAGGGGTATGGGCTGCCTGGATGGCCGCATGTTTGAACCATCCAGTATCCTTCAGCTCGGCTGTTGCCGACATTTCTATGAGCGCGAGTGCGCGAGTGTCCACCCATTTTCGCATTGCTTGTATGTGTACGCGTCTTGGTACTGCTTGTTTTCACTTGTTGTCAAACCAAAAAACCGGCATCCAAAAGACCTCTGCATCACAACCCAAACGCGGTGGCGGGATAGGCTGGATGCCAACAGGTCAGTATCGAGCTCTATATGGATTCTCGAGTTTGGTGCCACGCGTTTCGGTGTTTCGACGCCCAAAGGCCCTTCCCCGGCGCCCGAGTCCGTGTAGAGTGTTTCAAGAAGGCTTTCGTTTTAAAGGAATTCAGAAGTCGTCTTCTTGGTCACCGCGGAGGCTGGCCGAAGGCCCGCGGAAGCTGGCGGATGTAAATCGAGGGCGATCTGGCTGGCGGAAGCCAGCGGAACCTCGTCTGAAGCCCGCGGAAGGAAATTGACTTTGTAAGAGGTCTACGTTGGCCACCGTGCCGTCTTCAGGCATGCAGAGCCAGCTGCATAAATGTCGCACGGTGTGCACAAAACGATACATCGCCCCCTGGAGGTCTCCACACCTTTCCCGGAACAAGCTTTCTGGGGCTCCAATTGAACCCCCACACACCCCAGGACAGCCCCGACTCAGCCACGATAGGGCCCCAAGAGAAGTTCCGGCCGACGCCGCGCAACACCCGAACAACGAGCGTTTAGAGAAGCCCCAGAGTGGCACAAGATGGATCAACGATCGCACGAGCCGACATCCCAATGGCCGCTCCAAATTCTTGATGTGCAGAGCGTTGCGTTGCATGTCATTTGTGCTTCATTTATCCTTGCAGTAGTTTGCGTTGAGTTGCAATACGTTGCATAGCCACTGCATGACATTTCCACGATCATGTCATATGGATTCGCATTGCATGCGTCTGTGTGTATACTTGTCAGAATTCCGTCTCTGTTCGGTCCGCGCGATTGTTACCTCTTCACTTCATGTGCGAGCAATTTGTGTTTACGTGCACGCGTGCATCTGTGAGCTTGTCAAGGTCTGGGGGGTGCTAGAACCTAAGCGCGCGCGAAGCGCGCGCGTGGTTCTAGTAAATATTTAGATGTGCATACATACATACATACATTCATACATACATACATATGCATACATATATATGTATATGTATATATACACTTGTGTACATATATATGTGTGTGTATATAAATATGTATATGTATATATGTACGTATACACATACATAGGCATCACACATTTCATATAGAAAGAGTACTCGCGCGAGTCTTGTGTGGAGGCCTTGTGCGGGGGACATTGCGCGCCTTGTACGGAGCTCTTGTGGATGCTCTTGGGGTTGGATCCGCGCGCTTGCTTATCCAGGAGAAGGAGGAGGAGGAGGGGGACGCGCAGAATAATCACGATGGATATGGCCCCTTGCACACCGTGTGCGTCGGTGGTCTTCGCCCTGGCACTGCTTCTATCAAGCACAGCACGTATGTAACGTTCAGATCTCCCCCTTTTTCATTCGGCAGTGAATAGGACTGGTCATAGAATCGTTTCCTCCTCCTCCCCCCTCCCCTCTTCTTTCTGCACCTCCACCTCCTCCTCCTGCTCCTCCTCGTCCTCCCCCCGCTCACCCTCGGGCCATTCCTAAGGAGCAGTCGTAGTCACAATCGTAGTCGTAGCTGTCGTCGTCGTTGTTGCGCGAACGGCGCCGCGGAAAAAGTGATTAGTTACCCCTTCTTGGTGGGACCCAGTCCTTACGGCCTCCGATAAAGTATGTGTTGCCCCCTATTGTGAGGGCTATAAAGATTTGTCGTCGCTATATAGATGTATGTACAGTTGATCTGTGCATAGATGCATATATATATATATATACAAAGTACAACCCACACACACACACAAACCACCAGCACTCCGTGTTGAATGATCGTCTGCACTCCGCATTTTGAATGGTCGGGAGGGCTTGCTCCATTCCCGTTGGAATCTGACTTAGATTATCTGCGGTTCCAGTAGAATTCTCTAAACCTTGGATCTGCTTCGTGTTGTGGCCATATGTGGAGTTTTGTTCCAACTACAGTTCCAATGGATCGCGAGTTGTTCCAGTTGTATCCGAGTTCCACTGGAGGCCGATCCAAAACCGGTAGAACGCATTGGAACCAGGGGCTCGTTGCATTCGTGTTGAAACCTTCTTGGATGATGGACCAGTTCTATAAAATTGTTTTGGATGGGGAGGGCGAGGAGGGAGGAAGATACATTTGGTATGGTTTGATTGCTTGCTCTATCAGACTGGAGCAGACATGAGTTCGATTGGCTTCCAAGTGGCTTTCAATGCGAACTAATTAAGGATGACGCAGATCCCTTACCTGCTGGAATTGTAGTTGGTTCGATCAGCACCCAGATACGGTTCAAATAAGAATTGAATGGCACAACGTCCGAATGTTGCATGCCAAAAGAAACACATGTGCCATTGCCAGTAAAGATAACGTGGCATTGCCAACATGACCAAAACGTGTGCTTGCATATGGAAGCCACGCTTGGACCTCAAACCCTGTGAAACCACAGTGTGTAAGCCACATGTGTTGTACAAGCTTGTGCTTGCAGATGGGAAACCAATGCCCGGATGTCAGAACCTTGTAGCATACACCGTTTTAATCTAGGTCTCCTAGATGGGGTCGGAGTAGATGGGGTCGGAGGATCGCCCCTCATCGCCGATGCATCGCCGATGCGGCTCGATGCGGAGCCCGATCTCTTTCACGCGGACGTCTCCGATGCATCGCCGACGTCGTTGATGCATCGCGGATGTATCGCCGAGCGCGATCCTCCGACCCCATCTACTGACCCCATCTTGGAGGACTCTATTTAAGCAAGTAGCTATGTACGTAATCAGCCACCACCCCCGCATATAGCTACATAAGTAGAGCGGTAACCCAACACTTACGACGATATAGCTTCAGGAACGGGTCGGGCATCTGTAGATATAATGGGAGAGAGAGAGGGACAAAAACAAAAAATATCACGTGTCCCCTATTTTCTATACCATGGAGAGGTAGACAGCTGAATCGTCAGACGGGCAGACAGACAGTTTGACCCGTTGCCGAAAAGACCGACAGTCATATGGACAGGTCGTTGGTTCGACGTACATGCAGATATGCACGCAACAGTATATCCATACGGATAGCTGTGCATTTGAATATTGACGTCGCTGTGTTGCAATATGGCGCGAGGTCATCGCAAGCCAAAATACGTGTTCACACCAAGATTCCTTTACCACTTGGAGAATGTTCCACAAGCGTGCTCTAGGCTACGCCTAGTACACAATGGCAATCGCATTCGAGGTAGCAGCAGCGAAAGAAGAAAAGGCAGAGCCGTAGACAGAGCCGAGCCGGAGAGGGAGAGGGAGAGAGAGGGAGAGAAACAGAGAGAGAGAGAGAAAGAGGTACAACAAAAGCCGGAGAGAAACAGAGACAGAGACCGATAGAGAGAGAGGACGGGGCCGCAGCTAGGGGAAGAAGGGAGGAGGAGGGAAGGATGGAGCAGGGAAGGGCCGAGAGGGGCGTGCTGCTTCTGTTCATTCCTGGCCGCGAAGGCGGAAGGCGGAGCAGGCAAGCGAGCAGCAGAGGAAGCCTCTGGAACCAGCGAAGGGCCCCTCGAGCGAGCTTCGGAGCCACAGTCCCTGCCATCGGGCCCCATCCCAATGCATCACCACCCTCTGCCGTCAAGTTGCGCCGATGCCCCCTGCGCCACAGACACTGCGCTCCCGGCCTCCGTCCTGATGGACGCGTCGGCGTTGTACGCCGGCATCGCAGAGAAGATATTGGGTCAGAAGTTGAAGCTGTCGGAGAACCCGAAGGCCGGCCGGACGGGGCAGCAGCATTGTCGTTGGAGGGATACTGTTCGGACACAGGCTTCTTGGAGGCGCGGGCCGTCCTGGTGGCCCAGAACCCCGAGATCCCCGGTGGGCACCCCAGAGGAGCCAAGAGAAGGGAGCCTCCAAGAAGCTTCCCATACGCTGTCAAAGAAGAAAACAAGGACGAAGGAGGAAAGAAAAAGAGAGGCTGCGGACAAGGAGTGGACGCTTTCGCACGTCTGTGCCACTGCCAGTGCGGGCGGGCGCGCCGTGCACTCGAGCGCTCACAGCACACGTTGACGAGGGCATTGTTACTTCGATTGTTTGTTGGTTCTCTTTTTTTTTTTCTCTCTCTCTCTCTCTCTCTCTCTCTCTCTCTCTGGGTCTCGCTGACAAGCTCCTTACCATCACCGCGGTCCTCCTCACCACACCCTTTCACCAAGCCAGGCTCATTTGCGTTGGTCTTCCACTATTGCGTGCCGCTTTACAATACGTATGTTGGCTGCGTTTGTCGTTCTTTTCACGCAAGTATCCTGCAGCGTCCAGTCTTTGCACCGGGCGTGCCAGCGTACAGATGTTGATGCGCGCCGCCTCCTCATCATCCTCTTTACCCCCCCTTCATCCACCTTTCTCGTCTCCTTCCTCCCTCCTCCAGAATTTTGCTTATCCTCTCTGTCTCTCTCTCTCTCTCTCACTCTCTCTCTCTCTCTCTCTCTTTCTTTTATCCCCTGAGATCCGCCGTCGCGACAAAACATCAACATCGCGAGGAATCACGACTGGAGCCCTAGACCCCATCTTTCTGCGTCACTTTTCGGCTCCCGAAACCAGACGATAACACCAGTTGTGGAGCAAATGCGACGGCCGGATCTCGGCGATCACTACCGAGGCACCGTCACGTTTGCCCCGCACCAACACACGAAGGGCGCACCTGCCTACGACCTTGGCAACGCCCACTTCCAGCGGCCATACCGCTTCACTACAGCTAGCCTCATGCAATTAATAGCCAAAGACAAGCTGCGCCATGTCAACCTCTGGCATCATGTCGCTTTTTTCTAGCGAGGCCGACCCATCGACCAAGAAGCGTACATCCTCGACGTGCTCACTGGCGACGACCCGTCTGCCGGGTCCGTGCTTCTTTGGGGACACGTCTCCAAGCAGCTTGTCAGCCGCCAAAGGCCGGGGCCTGCAGCTCAGTTACAGCATTTCAGCATCCCGTCACCACGTAAGGCTTTGCTTGTGTCCACCACTGGACCCCACGCCCCGCCAGGCCTAGGAGCCTCGGCCCACCCACTCGACCGAGCCCGAGGCTAGCCCGCCCACGAGCGGCGACCACGCAAACAAATACGCCTACGCGACACGATCGAATTGTTGACGCTTCGCGAATCCCCACCAGCCTTTGCGACCCGACGGTTTGCGCCGCCGCCGCCTTCCGCCTGGAAAATCTTCCTCCTCCCCTTCCTCCCCCCCCCTCGCTCCTGGCCGCTGATCGATCGACCGCCCCGCCCACTGAGGCCCCCCAGCAGCAGGCTGCGGCACCCCGGCTTTACAAATTACTCTCAGCGGCGGTTAGCTGTGACCCTGGAGGCTGGGCAGACGCAAATGCAATCAAGGGCCGCTAGCTCGCTGGCCAGCCTGCGAGGCATGCCGCCCAGACGGCCCCCTACCCGCCGATGGCCGCCTCCCTTTCCGTGCGAGCGAATGCCCCTGGCTGCGTTGGGCACATTTTAACGGCGAATGGTGCTCGTGGTGTGAGCTCTGTCAGAAGCACCGTGACGGGAAGGGGCACCTGCTCCAGTGGGACCACTGGAACGAAGGCAATAGGCAGTGGGACAACGGATGGCCCGACCCCCAGGAATTCACCACTGCGGGTAACCTGTGGACCATGACGATTGGAGGGAACTATGACCACATCCACGGTTGCAACACCAAGAGGTTCCCATGGCACGGGTGGAAGCCGACGGCGCCCGAGAAGGACCACGGGCTGGCCTATCTCCCTGGCGGGTTCTTCCCAGAAAACTGGGACCACGTTTCTCTCAACTTTCCTTTCAAGGACAGCGCCTTCGACTTTGTCACCCCCTCAGACACCATCCATTCCCCGGGGACACGACCTCACCAGCAGTTGAGGCGAGCCAGGGCATGGGTGACCAGTAGTGGCACGAGACCGACGGAGGGGCCTCGTGACAGAGGCACCCCCGGCCACGCCACCGCCAACCACCAGCATCCCCCATTCAGACACCCCGCAGGAGAGGACATGCCCAACGCCTCCGGCAGAGCATCGCCCCAGGATTCAGCCGACAGACCACGCACGGAGGCACCAGAGGGAGAAGCAGGCTTCGGCTACGGAGACACGTCCCCGCCAGGGGTGCGGAAGGTATTGCTGGAGTCGCCGGCCATGACGGCAGCCGAAGCTGTCAGGCTGCTATACTCCGTCCCCGCCAGCTGTGGAACCGCCCAGTTCCGTCTACACGTACCATTAGGAGATATCTGGCAAGCCGTCCTCTTCCCACCACACTGGCCGCAGGAGCTAAGGCAGAGAGGACGGGCTCTCGAAAGACTGGCCTGGACCGAGTGCATGGCGGCGACCGAGACCGTCTGGGACGGGTTTGTCAAGGCCAGGACAGACCTCATCAGAAGGCAAAGCTGCGCCCTGGGAGTATCCGTCACCCCCATCGATCAGAACTCAGAGTGCGAGATCCTTGACCGTTACCAACTGAGGAGCGCCTGTCCACCCCGCGACGGGAAGGAGCTACTGAATCTACAATGGCCCTCAGCGTTCAGAGTCCTCCTCAAAGGCCAGGACGCGGGGCAAGGCGCGCACGTCCTCCTCCTCAGCCTCACCAGCCCAGCAGTGGACCAAGTCGCTGCCGTCAAGCTACAATGGCCCCCCGACCTTGGAGGCACAATCCCACCGGGCGACTGCCAGGCGTTGGGGCTCCCAACGGGCTCAAGGTACCCCAGCAACGTATGCATCGTCGTTTACAATGCTGGTAAAGTCGGGGAATTCCACGCAGATGACAACATCGACCAACCCAACTACGCAGGCGAACCATAGTACAGGCTGGACCGGGCGCCCTCCGAGATCCAGTTTTGGCGGATACCGGCAGCAATCACCGAGATCTACAGGCTACAGCAGGTCCCCTCGACCTCTTTGGCACCCCCCTGGACGTCATCACCTACCTTCTCACCTTCCGCACAGCTGACAGGGGGGACAAGGCCATCGCCAACGACGCTTGCAACACCGCCAGGTGCGGGCAGGCTCTCAAGGCGCGTGCCACAGCCACCCTGCAGGCCCGCCTCCCCCTGCACCGATATACCTGCGCCCGGTGCTGTCTCGGCGATGCCCACTCACCCCGCCGGGCTTCCAGCCGCCCCCCCCGTTCACCGACACAGAGGTGGAGGACGCCACCGGGCAGGTGTTTCAGCGCGCTCGTGACCTCCCGGCACCGAAATCCTTGGAGGAAGGCGCCGAGCGCCACAGTCTTGACCACGACGCCACAAGGGCCCCAGCAGCCTCCACCCGCCATCACGTGACGATCGTACACGGTCCCTTTGGCACAGGCAAGACAATTCTAGACGCTTCGCGTATCCCCACCAGCCCGTCCAGAAACGACGCCCAGGCGAGTAGAGGGTCGTCCCGAGGGGTTTTTCGGCGTCTTGGGTGCCTCGGGGGGGCCTCTGTGGGCCGTTCGGGGTCCTCTTTGGGGCCTCCTGGGGGCCTCTTGGGGCCTCTTGGGGCCATCTTGGGGCCTTGGGGCCTCTGGGGGGTCTCTTGGGGGTCTCTTGGGGGTCTCTTGGGGGCCTCCTGGGGGCCTCTTGGGGGGCCTCTTGGGGCCATCTTGGGGCCATCCTGCGGCCTCTTGGGGCATCCTGGGGGCCTCTTGCGGCCATCGTGGAGGAAATCGATCAAAGAAGAGGGGAGCGTTAATTAGCGCTGCCCCCCTTCAGAAGGCCAAAATGGGGCCCAAACCATAGTAAAGTCAATGATTTTGGCTTCCTCGCCGAGGCCGTTTTGGACGCTCTGACCGCTCGCGGCCCCCCCCGTCCAGGTCAGTGGGGAGGGGGTAGGGGGAGGGGTAAACCCCCCCCGGAGGGAAAGAGGGAGGGGTAGAAGAGGAAACGCCCTAAACCACCGACGCCCAGAGGGCTGGTGGGATTTCTGTGAGAAGCAGTTGATCGTTTCGGTTGCTCTTACATGTGTTTTCGCAGTATTCTGGGCTTCGCGTCCCGCGCGAGCGCTCGATTGAATTTATGTTGAAGCAGTTTTTGGGCGTCTGGGGTCCTTTTAGACGCCATCGGGGCGCTCTGGGGGGGGCATCTTGGAGCAAATCTATCAAAGAAGAGCAGAGCTTTAATTAGCGCTGCCCCTCCAGACTGTCTAAAATCGCTTCCTGGACCCCTCTTGGATCGCTCTTGAAGCGCTCTTGGACGCTGTTGAGGCAGTATTGAGGCTCTCTTGGGCCCCATGTTGGGGCCCAGTTGGGACATCTTGGCGCCATCTTGAGGCCTCGGATGGGCTTCGGAAGCGGAAAAGTGAAAACACCAAAAACATTGATTTTCTTTAGGTTTTGAAGCATTTCGGCTTTTTGAGGGCACTCTAATGATGCTCTTGTGGGCACTTGGAACCATCTTGGAGCGGTCTTGGAACGTGTTGGAGCGTCTTCTGAACCATATTCAGGCATCTTGCGCTATCTTGAGCCATCTTGGAGGCGATCTTGGGCTCTCTGAGGCCCTCTTGGAGCCGTCCTTGGCCATCCTGGACGCTCTGACCGCTCCCCGCCCCGCCTGTCCAGGTCAGTGGGGAGGGGGTAGGGGGAAGGGTAAACCCCTCCCCGAAGGGGAAGAGGGAGGGGTGGAAGAGGAAACGCCCTAAACCACCGACGCCCAGAGGGCTGGTGGGGAAACGCTTCGCGCATCCCCACCAGCCCGTCCAGAAACGACGCCCAAGCGAGTAGAGGGTCGTCCTGAGGGGCCTTCCGGCGTCTTGGGTGCCTCGGGGGAGCCTCTGTGGGCCGTTCGGGATCCTGTTTGGGGCCTCCTGGGGGCCTCTTGGGGCCTCTTGGGGCCATCTTGGGGCCTTTGGGGGCCTCCTGGGCGCTTCTCGGGGCCATCTTTGCCCCCTCAGGAGGCCAAAACGGGGCCAAAATCTCAGTAAAATCAATGATGTTGGCTTCCTCGCCGAGGCCGTTTTGGACGCTCTGACCGCTCGCGGCCCCCCCCGTCCAGGTCCACGGGGAGGGGGCAGGGGGAGGGGTAAACCCCTCCCCGAAGGGAAAGAGGGAGGGGTGGAAGAGGAAACGCCT